TCGGGATATGTAGTCGTACAAATCCAGGCCGTGGCGGAAGCTAGAGTTGACCTCCGGGCCGTAGAGGTAGCGGAGGGCGTCGATTCCAGCGTAGTAAGGGAGGTATATGGCGGAGGCGAGGTCGGGGTCGGGGGTGAGGCAGGGGTATTCCAGCATACGGCGGTGGAAGACGAGTTCCAGCATGTATGGGTCGGTGCGGTACCAGCTGTGGGAGGAGTTATGGGTTTTCCGGCCGAGCCCGTGGTTCGGCAGGTAGGGGCAGAAGTCGTCGTAGAGAGGGTATCGGGAGCAGTTGGAGAGGAGGTCGAGGTTGAACCGCGGCGGTAGACGGCGTATATGGATCCATCTGCCGGTGCAATCATCTTGGAGATCGGAATCCTCGGAACTGGCATCCGCACCGGGGATACTTCTGTACACGAGCAGGAGGAGGATAGCGGTGATTAGAGCATTCGGCGGTGGTGCAGGCATGGTGGTTATACAGAATAACGGAGCAGAACGAGCATAGCGGTGAAGGCTTGTGGTGGGAACACAAATGCCAAATAGAAATTCCTTTCTTTAGTCAATCTCTATCTTTACACTACTAATATACTTTAGTTTAGGGAAAATTTCCTAGAAATAGGTGTGTGATTTTTTGGGGAAGAAATATGTTTAAATTTATAACACAACATTCTGATAGTAGGTAATTCGACAAAAAGAATCTTGACAATCACCGCTCATCGATATAGACTCAGAGTTAATCACCTCAACAAAAACAATATAACTCGATGAACTCTTAATGGGCACAATTGAGCCATAGACGGTTACCTCATTCCTTTCATTACCCACATCCAAATACACAGTCTTACAGTTGAATAAAATAAAAATCCGAATGTAAACAACAAATCAGACAATCAAAATAAATAAATGCTAAAAAATAAAAGTCATGTTTCGTCATCCAGCAAGAAGATGCCAAACACCCTCCAGAGCCTTCAACCCTAGCCTTTTCTGCACTCCGTGGCGGCGGTTCAGGAGGAGGTCGGACCAACAGTATTACATCTTCTTCCTCATTCTGCTTCTTGCTGATCAAATTCTCTGACATACTTGCGTTTACAAAAACCTGAGCAAGGAAGCCTCAATTAACTTGCTCACCGATCCTACTCGCCGGCCAAAAGACGACCCTCCGCTCGCTGCTTCGCCGAACAGAGACTTGCCTGACAAAGTCATCCCAACATGTTCACAATCCTGCCGGAGCAAAACAAAACTGCGGCTTCACCATGCTCCAAAATAGCCCTTCCCCCGAATCACTTGTCACAGATCCAAAATGTTTGACCAGAGAAACCAGCTCCGCTCCTCGACGCAAGCCGATAGCGGATGAACAGAACTAGCGGCAAACCTTGTGGCTAACCCTAGAGAAAGAACTTTATCCAAGAAATCGGAATAGAAAGAGACGAGACTCGACCCAAGAGCCTGAAAATTTCCTCACTCATCTCGGCGAAACCGAGGCGGACGAAACGAGCCTAGGCATTACCGGAAGGTAACCCTAGAGAGAGAAATAAAGGTATGTAAATTACAAAATAGATTTATCATGTTTTTTTAATTATTGAATAAGAGTGATTTCTGTCAAGTTTAACATTATTAGGTTCTAAACACGACAACATTTTCCAAACTTGACATAAATTGCTCATACTTAGGGAATAAAAATATGAATGTCATATTTTGGAATTTCAAAACATTTTTACTTCTATTCAGAGCAATTTCTATTTATTTAATTAATTAGAATGAAGAACTATTAATAAGGGATACAAAGCTAAATGATCGAAAACTATCAATTTCAGAATTAGATTATTACAAAATTTATATTCTTTTTTAACATTTTTAAATATTATTTGATTTTATTAAACTAATAAACTTTTTTGAAAAAAATCATAAAAGATTAGCAATCAAATTAATAAAGAACTAAATACATAAAAATCTAGGATACTTTAGGTCATTGGTTGATAGTTTTCAACCATTCAAGCCTTATATTGACACATTCATCTTTCAGATCCCTGGTTGATAGTTCATTTATCTTTCAGATCTTGTATTGATTTTTTTAGTTATTTAATTTCACATAAATAAATGTAGTGAAAGTAATACAGAGAGTATCAGATAGATTTTGCCAGTGTCAGACATCTACTTGACAAGGATATGAGGTATTGCTTAAGTATTATTGATGAGTATATTTATTTCTTATACTTCAAAATCGTATTATGTTCCCATTTTTGTTTTGTTTTGTCTTTCGTCTTGTAATTACAATGTCATTTTGATCAAATAAAAACATTGTTTTTGTAAAAGAAATAAAAAAAATAGAAAACGAATATGAACAATTAGAATCAATTAATATTTACATTTATATTTATATTTGCATTTAATAAATGTCATTTAACATTCAGAAGTAGAAAACTCAGAAAGTTGATATCCCCTCTTTTCTTTTCTTTTGAGAAAATCTTCCTTCTTTTCTCGAAACCATATCTAGAGCCTTAAAAAAGTTAAGAGGTCGTTTGACAATACAGTTTTTCGGCATGTCAGGCTTATCAGATAACTTTTTCACCTAACACGTAACTTTTGCTTTCACGCGCTGAATTGTGTAATAAGCAGAAAAAGTAAGGTTGAAGTTACTTTTCTGGCTGTATTGGCTGAAGTTACTGTAGATGACTACTTTAGCTATTTTTACATATATTTTTTCCTTTATTTTATTGATAAAATATATTTTAAAAATATTTTTTCTTAAATCAGCAGAATCAGCCAATGCAGCCATTTTAGCCAGAACTTCATAAATTGCAGCAGAATCAGCCAAAATAGCCGATTTTCGTGCTACCAAATAGGCTCTAAGTGTGTTTTTGCATTTTCACTCAAAAAACTTGTTAGAAACCATTAAAAGCACTTAGAGTTGCTTCAATTCTTAAGGAGTGTTTGCTAACACTTAAAATAAGCACTTTACAGCTTTTAACTTAAAATAAGTCTTTTAAATAAACTTAAAATCAACTGGAAAAAAGTGTTTGCTCATACCTACTTTTACTTTAAAAAGCAATTTAAAGCTAAAAGCTAGAAGGTGACAGAAAGTTGTTTTAAACTGCTTTTCACTTTTTCTATTACACAAAATACACTTATTTTATCAAACATTACTCACTTTTACTTTTTCAAAAACATTTTTTATCTCAAACACTATCAACTTTTATTAATAATCACTCTCTCCAAAATCATTTTTTTTAATACAAGCAATCATAAACACTCCTTCAGCCTAAGAGAAACAATTTTAACAAAGAGCCGGAGCATGGGGTCTAAGACAAGCTATGTACTGGATGATCAATTCAAGACATGAGCAAGCATTTTTGAGTTGTATTCAAAACAAGTAGTTGATGATGTGCTTGCTAATAGGGGAGATACAACAGAGTATGGATCTTTAATCAGAGACCGCCAAACCATACTTCATAACAACTTTCAGGTTGTCTTTCAACTTTCAGGTTGCTTCTTGTACTATTTCCCAACATATTCCTCGCTGTATTCTCAACATTAATAATGAAATGAGTTATATTGTGATTGTAAAAAAAACAAAGAGATTCAATGACCCTACAATTGTTTAGGTGTTGTTCTGTTCGTCTTATTCTTATTACTTATTACTTATTCTTATTTTATTCAGATCAGATCAGATCAGAAAGATTCAGATCAGATCAGATCAGAAACATTCAGATCAGATCAGATCAGAAAGATTCAGATCAGATCAGACCAGATCAGAAACATTCAGATCAGACCAGATCAGAAAAGTTCAAACATGATTTATCACTTTTATTATTATATTAATTATTATTATTAATATTGTTATTACTATTATGATGATTATTATTATTATTAAATAATTATTATTAATAATATTAATAATAATATGATAAAAAAAGATATTAATAATATAATAATAGTAATATAAATGCAATTATTAAGAAGATTATTATTATTGTTATTATTATTATTATTATATTATTACAATATAATAATAATAATATGATTAATATTATTATAATATTATATTATAATTATATTTAATTATAATTATAATTATAATTCTTATAATTATAAGTATAATCACTTATAATTATTATAATTATAATTATAATTTTAATTAACTATAATTATAATAATAATTATAATTATAATTATTATAACTATAATTACAATCATAATTAGAATTATGATTATAAATATAATTATAATATAATATTATAATAATATAATACTTATAATAATAATAATCATATTATTATATTATTGTCATTATAATATTAATATAATAATATCTTTATAATAATATTAATTGTATTTATATTACTATTATTATATTATAATATTATAATTACTGTTAATATAATTATAATTATTATTTTATTATAATTATTAATAATATTATTGTTATTATTACTATTGTAATTATTTTACGGAGTAATTATAATAATATTGATAACTATAGTTACAATTATAGAGATAAATATTGTACTTATAATTAAAATATAATTAAATAAGTAATTATAATTAAAAATATAATTAAAATTACAATTGTATCTATAGTTATAATTCTTGTAATAGGTATAACTTTTTCCATTTTAAATTTAATTTTAATTATTATTATTATTATTATTATTATTATTATTATTTTAATTATTATTATTATTGTTAATATTATTAATAATTATAATTATTAATAATTATAATTATAATTATAATTTTATTTAAATTATATTTGTAATTACAATTATAATAATTATAATAATTATAATTATAATTATAATTATAATTATTCAAACCAGATCAGATCAGAAAGATTCAGATCAGATCAGAAACATTCAGATCAGATCAGACCAGATCAGAAAAATTCAGATCAGATCAGAACTTAAAAAATTCAGATCAGAAACATTCAGATCAGGCTTCTTCGTTTGTTTCGGGGTAAAAACGTAGTTTCAAGAATCTGATTGCACAACAAAAAATGAGGCTCCCAAATCCCCACATCACTCATCATCTTCATTAGTTCATTCTCTTGAACACAGTCCTCCCCCTTCGTATCAATTTTCATTAGACTTGATAAGAGAGAGATGGCCGGTGAGTCAGTGATAAGGTTGACAGTGGCTTCTACTGCCCCTTCACTCTTCAACTTCAATGGCTCAAGGAAGGCGACACCAATCTCCCATGGCGTGGTCTCCGGCCATCGGCGACGCCGCGGCAACACGGTTCAGTTGCTCTCCTCTACTCCATTCTCGGAATTTTTCGGAAACATTGAAATTAGGTCTGCCCCTGCTTCGAAGTCACCGGCGTTATACCAGAAACGAAGCCATAAGAACAGTTTCTCCGTCTTTGCCATGGCAGCCGATGGTATGTCCAATAACCATTTCACTTTATACTTTATTTAGGTATTTTTTGGCAAAGATTGAATCTTTATATCTCCTTTTGTGCCCTTTCCATTGTACCGGTAATCATACTTCACACGTTGCAATCCTGAAAACAGAAAATCCTCCCTTATACCTTATTCCAAAGTTTAGTGAATCGATTATACCTTGTAAATCTTGATATAGATAATAATTAAACTGAAAGTATTAATTAAATGCCCCAAATATAGCCGGACCAAAAATGGAACAAGTGTATGTTTGTGGCATAGTATGCCACCCCTTGCCTTCAGATTTCAGAATAAAGAGTACAATTCATAATACCGCCATTGCAGATGGAAAGAGAACAGTCCCATTAAAGGACTACCGCAACATAGGAATCATGGCTCATATTGATGCGGGGAAGACAACGACAACCGAGCGGATCCTGTACTACACTGGCAGAAACTACAAAATCGGTGAAGTCCATGAGGGGACGGCCACAATGGACTGGATGGAACAGGAGCAGGAACGCGGCATCACCATCACCTCTGCCGCAACCACAACATACTGGGACCAGCACCGGATCAACATCATCGACACCCCAGGCCATGTTGACTTTACCCTCGAGGTTGAAAGAGCCCTAAGAGTTCTTGACGGGGCTATATGCCTGTTTGATAGTGTTGCTGGAGTGGAACCTCAGTCAGAGACCGTCTGGAGACAAGCCGACAAATACAGGGTCCCGCGGATATGTTTTGTCAACAAGATGGACCGCCTCGGGGCAAATTTCTACCGGACCCGAGATATGATCATCACCAACTTGGGTGCTAAACCGCTCGTGATTCAAATCCCGATTGGTTCTGAGGATAACTTTGTAGGAGTTGTTGATCTTGTGAAGATGAAAGGAGTAGTTTGGTCAGGGGAAGAATTGGGCGCCAAGTTTGTGTATAAGGACATTCCTTCTGAGCTTCAAGACCGAGCTCAGGAATTCCGAGCCAACATTATCGAGACCATAGTTGAGTTGGACGACGACGTAATGGAGAAGTATCTAGAAGGGACAGAACCTGATGAGGAAACCATTAAAAAGTTGATAAGGAAGGGAACCATCTCTGGCAGTTTTGTTCCGGTCTTATGTGGATCCGCTTTCAAGAATAAAGGGGTTCAACCGCTTTTGGACGCTGTCGTTGACTATTTACCTTCTCCCATTGACTTGCCCCCGATGAAAGGCAGCGACCCTGAAAACCTAGAAATAACAATTGAAAAACCAGCCAGCGACAATGAGCCATTCACTGGTCTGGCTTTCAAGATCATGAGCGATCCTTATGTGGGGTCGCTCACCTTCGTGAGAGTGTACTCAGGAAAACTCGTTGCAGGATCTTACGTACTGAATGCAAACAAAGGAAAGAGAGAGAGGATTGGGAGACTTCTGGAGATGCATGCAAACAGCAGAGAGGACGTCAAATCCGCATTAACTGGTGACATAATTGCCCTAGCTGGACTTAAAGACACTGTCACCGGAGAAACGTTGTGTGACCCTGATAATCCAGTGGTTCTTGAACGGATGGATTTTCCCGATCCAGTTATCAAAGTTGCTATTGAACCCAAGACGAAAGCTGATATTGATAAGATGGCAGCTGGTTTGGTTAAGCTCGCTCAGGAAGACCCTTCTTTTCATTTTTCTCGTGATGAGGAGATTAATCAGACAGTAATTGAAGGAATGGGAGAATTGCATCTCGAGATTATTGTTGATCGACTCAAGCGGGAATTTAAGGTTTGCTTCTTTTTTCTTCCTTTCTTACCTCTAGTTATATGTCCCAAGTTATGTAGGACATGAAGAAAACATATGTGCAGTTACCTATGGTTATAGGGGGCAAGTGAGGATCTGTTTGGATGGTTTCAGAGGGGAGGGTTCGGGAATGATTTGTCTATAACATGATATAAATATTTGAGAATTTTTTTTTTTAAAAAAAAGTGAAAGGAATAACATGATAGATGATCACATAGCATATCAATTACCCTTATTGATTAAAAAAACATTCCATTTATATCAAGACATGATATAGATTAAACCATCCAAAATATATCTCTTTCAAAGCCATCTTTCCAAACAGACCCTAAGATATCTCACATTTTATGGATTGAAGCTTACGACGACCCCATTTCATTAAGGGTCATAAGATATTCACCATATGTAACCAGAAGTTTCTTCTAGCATATTTACTTGAGGTAAGGCTCCGTTGGGCAGCTATAAGAAGAATAAGTAACTCATTTGACTTGGTTACTTGTTTGGCAAAATTAGATGTTACCAAATACTTTTGATTTGAGACAGAAGCCTTTTAGCTAGATATACTTCCAACCAAGAGGGCCTTGAGTTCACATATTCTATTTGTTATCCTTTGTTCCCTCATGAATCTTATATTGTGCATTTCTGACAAAATGGAATATTTTTAATTTTTTTAATGAAATCTCATGGAACTACAGTAACACTTTTATTAAAATTACACTGTCCTTCCAAAACCAATGTATGTCTATAGGTGGAAGCCAACGTTGGGGCCCCACAAGTGAACTATCGTGAGAGTATTTCCAAGGTGTCACAAGTGAAATACGTTCACAAGAAGCAGTCGGGGGGACAAGGGCAGTTTGCGGACATAACAGTGAGGTTCGAACCTATGGACGCTGGGGGTGGATACGAATTCAAGAACGAAATAAAAGGTGGGGCCGTGCCAAGAGAGTACATCCCAGGCGTGATGAAGGGTCTAGAAGAGTGTTTGGGAAACGGGGTACTGGCTGGGTACCCTGTGGTGGATGTTCGGGCAGTTTTGGTTGATGGGTCGTACCATGATGTAGACTCGAGTGTGCTGGCATTTCAGTTGGCGGCTAGGGGGGCATTCAGGGAAGGGATGAGGAAAGCGGGACCGAAATTGCTGGAACCCATAATGAGGGTTGAGGTGGTGACACCGGAGGAGCATCTAGGTGACGTCATAGGTGACCTAAACTCAAGGAGAGGTCAGATCAACAACTTTGGTGAAAAACCAGGTGGCCTCAAGGTATGTATGAATAGTGGAATGAGTGATGCTCCCTCCTTTTCATTCTTCCCTTCACCCTCTTTTTCTTTAATCATAGTTTTGAACAATGGGTGTGGTGTGGGTATGGGCAGGTAGTGGACGCGCTGGTTCCGTTGGCAGAGATGTTCCAATATGTGAGCAGCTTGAGAGGGATGACCAAAGGGAGAGCGTCCTACACCATGCAGCTTCACAAGTTTGATCTTGTCCCCCAACACATTCAAAACCAGCTTGCCTCCTCTAACCCCCAACCTGTTCCTGCTTAAGATTAAATGTCATCCACTTCTTTTTTATACTTTTTTTTTAAAGATCCCAATCAACTTTTCTAATTGTGCCCTCAAATTTTACAATTGTTCATAATTACTCTTTTGAAACTAAACACTCGAGGGGTGTACCATAAAAAGGGAGAATTACACATTACACAAATAAGAGTGAAAGTAATCCCAAATTCCTACACGAATTATAAAAAGGGAGAATTACACATTACACAAATAAAGAGTGAAAGTAATCTAAATTAAGAGTGAAATAATTGTGCCTAACACACAAGTCTGATTGGAGTAAAAGTAAAGTACCAAAGATTCCCGAAAAGTGAAAAAAACATTTTTAATGTAGTGTACCTAATATGTAGTTTTAATTAACAATAAAATCTTGCAACCCATCATCACTATTTACTCTCATCTTGGTGCTTTCAATACCAACATTAATGTTTCAGTAAGTAAGTAAGTTATATAGATGCCGATTCAGTATTTATTACCCTATGGACTAAAGGCACTAATAATTATTCTTCAAATCCATTCAATACAAAAGGAAAATGGAGCCTTCACATAATAATATAATATCCAAAGTCCAAACCATCCCCTTCAAAATACAATGGCTATGCTTTCTTTTGACCCTATATATTAAATGAGTTCTGCTCTCTATCGGACTTGAACAATTCCTGCACTGACCAACTTTTGGATCTTGTTCATCACAAGTGGGTTCTTCATGTGTTCTTGAGCAACTTTAGGGTTCTCTTGCATGTCCACAAGAACCTGTCCCATACATACGAATAAATTTATATTTGAGCAAACAAGCGCAATTTATTCCGAAGAGTTATTTATTACCAACCCAATTTAGATCCCCATCCACTGATCCACTACTCAATTCCGTCTTCAACTGTTAAAGCTAGACCTAGAATTTAAACTCCATACAAGTTTGTTTTTTTAAAGAAAGCCACGGGCCACAATAATGATGATATTATTATTAGTCTAATAGATATAATCAAGTGAATTTAAAGATGTTTTTAATCGAACTTAAATTTCAAATCTGGTACGGTGTGTTTAGGTAGGGGTGGACCGGTTCCGGTTCGGGCCTGGGCCCGGCTGGTTCGCGGTTCTGTTTTGTTGGGCCCGAGCCCGAACCGGTAGCCACCGATTCCGGGTCGGGCCACCCGGTTTGTATTTTTTTTTTGGCTTCTCCTATTTAACCCCCAACCCACCCTCCTCACCCCCAAACCACCTCAAAAGACCCAAAATACCCAGCCCAATCCAAAAACTTAAAAAATTCAGAAAAAAAAAAAATTCGGCCCGGACCGTGCCCGAACTGGCCGGGCCGGTTCACCAAATCGAGGGCCCGAGCCCGGAACCGAAGCCCACCGGGCCGGGTGGCCCAAACCGGGCACTAACCGGTTCACCGGGCCGGTCCGGGCCCGCACAGTAGTGGGCCGGTCCGGTTCCGGGCCGGTTGGCCCGGCCCGAGTCCATCCCTATGTTTAGGTCCGATCTAGATGATATTGAGTAAGTTTAAGAATGCCTTTAATTGACCCCAATTCAGAACCGGAACCAGTACCAGCGATTAAGCGATACCCATTCAGTTTTCCAATTCCAATTTTTTAGATATCTAAGTTTTAGTTGATTTTTTTTAAATAAATTAATAAAGGGTTCTCTAAAAAGTACTACAACCACTAATATCTATCATTGTTATAACTAAATAAAATAATAAGATAGTTAATAGTAGAGTAGTTATAAATTACGCTTTAAAAATCTACAAGTAATATTTTAAAATAATTAATTAATTATGTAATTTTATTACCAATAATTTTAACTAATAACTAATGAGTTGGAACTAGTAACAATTATAATTCCTATATTTATTAGAATTACAACTAGTACTATTATGATTATTATTATTAGTAGTAGTAGTATATTGTTTACAGTATTATCATTGTTCTAAAACTCGTTAGGCGCTAGTTGGGCGTTTGAGGGGCAACTAATGCCTAGGCAGCTGATTAGGCCGATTTTTTGGCCAACTAGGCTGATCAGTTCTTTACAATTAGGGCCGACTAGGCCGATTAATCGGTCCGCCTAGGCTGATTTTTAGAACAATGATTATTAAGTAATTAATTAATTAAAAAAGAGGTTCCAAATTGAAACCGTCTGTTTGTGAATCAAAACAACCAATTTCTATTCCAATTTTTGTAAGAACCGAACAAAGCTAGTAAACCTCTAATTCTATACCAGAAGTACTACACCAAGTAGTACAGAAACGGGAAATGGGAAACAAGAAACGGGAAACATTGGAAACGGAACATGAAGGAACCCAGAGGAAACCAGAAACCGCGGACAGGTTTCAGTTTCCGGTTTCCCCCATGTTTCATAAATATAGAAAAATTTACGTGCATACGTGATTCCAATTCAAAAACTGGTCTTTCTTGTTTCGGTTTAACCGGAAATCGCGGACAGGTTTAGTAGATGTATGATCTCTATAGATATACAAAGTACTCTTCCCCCGCCGTCCGGACGGCGGCTTTTGGGGGCCTTCCCGGAGGTATTTTTTAATAAAATTTTTATGACATGTTCTTCATCAAGTCTAGTTTATCCACAAAAAAATTCAGCTAAAACTCAATCGGGAAGGTCGTCAAATGATTTTTAGAAGATAACCGCGCCCAATATGCATATAAAACACAGTTATCTTCCAAAAATCATTTGATGGTCTTCCCGATTGAATTTTTAGCTGAAATTTTTTGTAGATAAACTAAACTTAATGAAGAACATGCCATAAAAATTTCATCAAAAAAATCCACCGGGAAGGCGGCCAAACGCCGCCGTCCGGACAGAGGTTCTTGTTCGGAATTCCGGACATATATATATTATAATTGCCGAAGTCTGATTTGATATGTTTAAGTGAAGTTTGTTTTGATATGTGACATAAACCCAGTTCAAGTAAAATATCCAAACTCTTCAACCTAATACCATGATCTGCATGAAAGGTCACACCCATACGTCCATACCTGTCTCATTACAGGATCACTTAAAATGTTCTGGATTTCTGGGTCTTGCATTGCCTTGGCCTGCATTGAGTTTTGATAACTGTTAACTTACACCACCATTTTCACATTTTCTCCCGCAAAGAGAGTAATATTAAGCTCCAAAAAGGATAGCAAAACTTAACCTGTCTCTCCTTGAGCTCCTCTGGGCTGAGATCACCACGAGTTGCTTTGTTTATTTGTGCAGCACAGCTGTAATTTAACACCAACTCTCAACTATTACATTTTTTTCCGGTCCCCCTTAGAACCCATAAAATACTAGGGAAATAAAATAACTGGGAAAATGATGGATGGAGAAAAAACTAAAGAACTTTAGTTTTGATTATTTGTTTAGGCTATATATAGTTGTATTTATTTATATATTAATTAAAATACTATGAATAAAATATACCATTTCTTTTTTAAAGAAATCAATCACTTGATTTTCTTTACATTTTCCAAGTTAAACATAACAAATTAACTTTCCTCCGCATTTTCTTTTCCTTCTCTAGACACCAAAAATGTATTCAAAATGATTCAATATTTCCACTTTACCTCCTCACACCGTCTAGTAATTCCTGGTTATTAGGATCTAGCTTCAACCCTTGCTGATAGGTCTCCAGAGCTTTTTCATATTCTTTCATGAAGAACTGAATTGCACCCTTTCTAGTGTAACCCTTTGCAAATGTAGGATCAAGCTCAATGCATTTCTCAGCATCTTTGAGCCCCTCAGGCAATGCCCCAAGTTTGGTGTAGCTAGCAGCCCTATTGCTATATGCCTAAAAAGAGTCAAAGAGAGCAAGAACATCACGTAAGAAATTTCGCTCCCTCCTTTAAGGTTTGTATAACAATGATGTCAATCTTCAGTTTTTGAACTCTACAAGTCTTCCCATCTCCTAAAGTGTTGTTTAAATGGTCTGCACACATTCACAGATTTATCAAATGAATATATTTTTTTCGAAAATCAAGTAATGTAGTACAATGTTAGTAGAGTGATTTATGGGCGCAGAGGTGTAATGGTAGACATGATCTGATAGTCTTTCTTGATAATCAACGCAAAAATTACTTGAGAACAAAAAACTACTAAAACAGAATGGGGGAATTGAAATTCGCTTATACATTGGGACAGAGTAACTGATTGAATTACAATGCAAAATATAAAAACAAAATAAGCAAGGCATTACTCTTGGATCTTTGGGATTCCTTCTTATAGATTCTGTATAGTGCTTGATTGCCTCCGGATACTTTTGCTCTTTGAAAAACTGGTTACCTACAGTTCAACATTGCATTAGTATGAATGTAATTTATAGATGATGTACTTTACCTTCCATACTTTACCTACAGTACAACATACATAACCATTAAAAAGAAACCGTTCATAGATGATGTAATTTACCTTTCTCACGCTCTTCATCAGCTATCTCTGGATCAAAGGACTCTTGTTGCTCTAATTCTTTCTTTGCCTTTTCTGCATCATTAAGTTTTTTTAGTGTGTCAGGATTGCGATGTTCTGTAAGAGCTTTCTGGAAAGTCTCAATAGCAGGTTTATAGTCCTTTGAGCATTTTGCCATCTTCACCAAGGCTGTGCCCTTCCTTGTCAAAGCCTTTGCTATCATCTTGAAATCGGATCTAAGTTCTCGCCCCCTCTCAACAGCTTGATCACAATCTTTGATGCATTCCTCATACTGATAATATATGAAAATTAAGTTAGTATTTCAAATTAAATCATGTGAGGCTCACTCCTTCACAACCTAAACGGTAACCTGATACTACATAGATTCACATTTACAATAAAAGCAGTATTTGGCAAACAAAAAATGAGATGAAACATACCTTCCCCATTTCCAAGTACACAGCAGCCCTATTAGTAAGGAACGAAATATCTTCATCGTCAAGCTCAATAGCTTTTGAATAGTGATGAATAGCCGTCTCAAAATCCTTCTTCTTATAGAATGCATTACCAGCCTCTTTCTCTTCTAATGCACGAGACTTCCTATCCTTTAACTCTTTCTCCTCGGCAGAGAGCTCCATAGGTTGGGGTTCTGTCTTTGGTTCAGGTTCAGTTTCAGAACGTCTAACCTTCACAGGCTCGGAGGAGGCTTCAGGCACCTCGTGATAGTCCTGTGCCGTCCTAGTTTGCAAATTCACACCTAACAGAATGCCAAGTGCCTGCATTACCCTCTGGTCCTTCAAATACTTATTAAGATTGTTAGCGTCTTTCTGGATATCCTGCATCATTTTTACGAAATCTGGCTGTTGCAAGTAAGCCCGTGTAGTAGGGTCGCGGGTCAACTTAACCCACATGTCTGGTCCCGCAAACGCATCCCCCAGGGGAGAAGAAGATGGTCTACTGGAACGGTCCTGAAAAGACTGCGCATCGGCGAGGCCAGATTTCAAAGCCTCGTTATTGGGATCGAATTCTAGACCCTTCCTATAAGCAGCGATAGCCCCTTCGTAGTTACGAAGGCCAAGGTGAGCCGCTCCCAGCCGGGAGTACCCCTTTGACCAGTCTGGCTTGAGCTCGACAGTCTTCTGAGCGTCAGAGAGGGCGTCGGAGAAATTGCCCAGGGAGGCATAGGCAGCGGATCTGTTGGAGAAGAGGACGTGATTGGTGGGTGCGAGGTTGATCGCCTCGGTGAAGTGGTTGACGGCCTCCTCGAACTTTCCGGCGGAGAACGCCGCATTGCCTTTGCTCTTGGCTTCGTCGGCCATATTTCTCTGTGTCTATGTATTGAAGAATGGATGGGGGGAAGACTGCTTTTGTAAGTCATTTGAAACGGCGAGACGAGAGGGTTCTAGTAAGGACTACTATGTCTGGAATGTTCTGAGATTTTTGGTTATATACAGCAGAGCAGAAGTGCAGTCCGACCGAGCCGAGCTTCATCATCAAAGGCCCAAAAGATTGGGAAACGGTTACATTTAACCGAGAAACTGGTTACTTACAGACCAAAAGGGCTAAATTGAATGTTTTTTAATAGTTTGAGGACTTAACTGAGTGTTTGTAAAGTACGAGGGTCTAATCGACTTTTTCGTTATAGTACGAGGGCTTATTTGATAGTTTTCCCATAATTTAAATACCACAAACTTTAATGTGATGTGGGGTAAGTAATTCAAACTTGCATATATGATGTATATACTCTAAACTTAATATAAAAATTATTTTCGCACAATGATTGTATGTTTACGAATACAAATCTATTATAATAATTATATAATTTAAAATACTCTAAGCTTTGTTAGAATGCAATTAACATTCTAAAATTTTATTTGTAAAATAAATAATATAACATTTGGTACAATTTAATTTTAATTGCATCTTTATAAATGTTATGTGCATTTCAAGTTATTATATACTTAACACCATAAATTTACATTTGCGAGAAAATATATGATCATGATTCTAACATAACTTTTTATGTAAATTTTGGGGTATATATACTACATGTGCAAATTTGAAGTACTTATGTAACACTCATTTAAAGTTTAGGACATTAAAGTTATTTTCTCCTAAAAATAACATAAAGATGTACTCCCTATCATACAAATTTTTGCACGATAAAACCACTGTGTATCACATCCACCCCATTCCGATATCACTTAATCAAAATTAACTTGCATATAAAATAAGAAAGCCAAAATTATTCTCCGTATGAATTGGAGGTTGGGAATCTGAAGTTTCTAAATATTTTTGGTAATTTCTAACTTGATTTTTTATGGCTTCTTTGATTGAGGTTGTGATTGTATTGCTTATTGTTGATTACAGTCAATTTTTAGGGGAAGTCATGCCAAAATTTTGAAAATTGACTTCAATTGTTTAAGTTTGTAAGATGGATGACATCAAAATGTAAGTCCTTGGATACCGGCCCGGCTCGAGCCAACCCAAATGAGCTAGGAACACGATGGCTCTCGCTCCCGCCTCTCCTATCTTTCCGGTAAGCCGTCTCGTCAACACAGAGTGCTACGAGTGGTACAAGAAGTCTCGAGACAATGATTCCATCATTGAGAAAACGGTCTCATAGGCAATTGACCAAGAATATTGGCTACTTGAAGGATTCACTAGCATCTCTTTGGAGGCCGTGTTCCACCTCCATGGGACCTACTACCTGGAGTTGGTGAAGGAGTTCTATGCCAACGTTGTTGAAAAGAGACATGCGAAGACGACGATTGAGAGTCTAGTCAAATGGGTGACCATAAACCAATGAACTTATCCATCGGGAGTTCAGCATTCTTAAATTGGGACGTCCTTTCGACCCTTCTGTGTCCAAATCGGAGAAATAGGGAGTGACCGAAACTACAACTCAATTACAGCGGCCCAGGAATTCCAGAGAAGTGGGTTGCCCGGAACTTCTAACAACCACACATTCGGGCTCACCTTTTGTGCCATTTTTATTCATTCAACGCTATGCCAAGGGCTAGCCGACTCAACGATTACACAATACTGATCTCTATCCTTCCTATCAAATGTGCACTGACCTGGGGGGGGGGGGGTCTAAGAGGGGAATCCTATCTCGGCATTGTTTTTTTTATATAGAGAAATCAGCTTATATTAGAATACTAGTAAAACCATAGGTAACATCCAGTCCGGAGAAAATAGGCAAGCTAGCAAGACTAGAAAACATAGTTCGATCATACGTCCTTGCACCAGTCTCAGAATCATTCACCTCAAAAGAAGTAGTCTGATTCGTTAATCCCCACATGAACAATTGTAAGACAACTATGATCGACCCAGATTCCTTGTCACTCATCATCTCCTGACTCTGACACAAAACCACAAAGAAAAACAAAAACAAGTCGCCTTGGGCAGAACAAACCTACAGAAAAACCAACTACAACCCCTACCAACACAATAAATTACAATGACAAAAAAAACTTTATAAGCAGATTATGGGCGAGTCTAGAAGCCTAGACCCGCCTACTCCATGTTTTTTGTTCCTTCAACCACCATTGCACCCACATCCTGTCCTTCTTCCTCATGGAGCTCCAGCACCCGTCTCCTATTTGGCTCCCTGACCCGACTAGCAACCATTTCCACCCCTAAACTCTTGGAAGCTTCCCCTTATACCAAGACCATTGCTGAATCTTCCACCTGAAAATCCCCCACCAAGTCTCCCGATGTTGATGAATGCACAAATCCTTCCCTTCTACCTGCCCCCTACCACCTTGTTTGCCTAAACCAACCATTTGTTTCCTTCCGTTCCTGCACCTCTTACACTCACTGCTCGGAGCCATGGACCATAAGGTTTGACTAATTCCCTAGCTCCCTTACTGTATTCCAATGGGCAAAAACCGATATGTATGGCCGATAAGGCCACATCAAAGCAGAAATATGGTAGCTTCTCATATCTAAGATCTACCCCAAAAACATTCTTTCTCATCCTTACCAAATGTTAATTTCCTGCGCAAAGGCTTATTTATATCCAAGCAAACCCTCAAGCCTCAACCGCATGTATGACCTCCAAATATCCTCAAGGTGTCATTCTTCAACATTTATTAATTTACCCATTGAATTTCCAATTCTTTTTGCAATTTTCAAAGTAAAATAACTCACTAGCGAATTAAACACTTTTCCAGAAATTCACCTTATTAAGAGGACTTGACTAAGGCCATTCACAACCTTGTAGCGCATGCATGAGTAATAAATTTTGCTAAAAAAGCCACAAACCATTCTCAAAACTCGATTCATATCGACCTCATGAAAAAGTAAGAGATACCTCTTTTTGTCAATTTCCTTAACTAAAACCCCTCTTTTTGTCTAGGACGTTATAACCGAAGATCTAACCATTCATTTGAAAAGAAGGAATCACATAAATATCAAATATCAAGAACTCAATGCCCAACTAAACTGGAGATCTGTATTCTGTACGTTCAAACTTAACTCTTGTTGTTATCATTTATAATTCATTTTTCTATCACATTTAAAAAAATTATTCCGATTTTTTTTAAATTTTATAACCAGGCCGGGCCTAGGCCCGGTCAGGCCTTTTGTGTTTGGGGGAAGGCCCGGGACTGGCCCGGTTTGCCGCCAGGTCCGGGCCTCGGGCCACTTAGTTATTTTTATTTTCCTTTTTCTAATTAACCCCCGGCCCCCCTCACCCCCACCCCCCAAACCACCCCCAAATGGCCCAAAATACCCAGCATAACCCGGGTTTTAAAAAAAAATTGAAAAAATAAAAATAATAATAAAGCCCGAACCGGGTCCGGCCCGGCCCGGCCGATTCCATATTCAGCTGACCCGAGCCCGCCCTTCCCTATTCAGCTGGGCCGGGCCTACCCGAAATGGACTGTAGCAAGTCACCAGGCCGGGCCGGGCCCAAACAGTATCAGTCCCAGGTCAGTTCTGGGCCGGACCCCGACCCGAGTCCAAGACTATTTATAACGTACGATAATCCCAATTGAGAATAAGGGCTGGATCTAAAAATTGAGAATCTTATTGATTGGATCCAAAGAATTTGTTCAAAATAAATATGCCATTGACGAACGAAGGCTACACCTTGATCCTAACCCAACCCGGGTTCCACACCCTAACAAATAAGGCCACTCGGCCAGTAAGTTTCAATGTTAAGAAAAGCTCAATTCCTCCGTTCTTAGATAATATGCAAAACATCACCTGGAATGTTGGTATTCCAACGTTTTTTCATGCATGAACTATCAAACAAGAACAAAGACATGTTTTCAGGATTAAAAACACTGAGCAAGAAAATTAAAAGACTATCTATATGCCAGAAGTGATGTCAACAGCTTTATGACAGTATATAGTAGTGAGGGCTCCTCTCAATGCTTTAAAATGCTGTTTTCCCTTCTTTCATTCTCACAAGAGACTCTAGAAATTCTTTCACCTGCGTTGAGATTTTTTTATCATCAGGTTAATTCACGACAACAGTATATACGAAAAACCCTGGAAAATGTGAATATCCACCGGATTCAGATTCCACCTGTGAAGTATCCTTGAGAGAAAAGAAAGCTTTGCTTTCCTTGGGAACAGCGGAAACCAGAATTCCGTAACCTCGCTCTCGCTCTCGCAGTACCTTAATTACATTAACCAAGAACACATTTGCATTTAGGCATATTCTCACAGATCCATTTAATTACTAATATACTCCACACACCCTCGTATGGGTGGGCACAGGTTTTTTACCGAAACAAAACTAACATGTATGTGTGCGACAAGTTTCAAGCATAGCATATTTGACTGCTTTGATACCATGTTAAATTTCTGGAAATATCAATAATCTAAAAGCAATTAAGCTGGTGTTGATTCCAATTAAATCCATTTAATGACAACATTGATGATATGTGGAAGGCAGGCCGGAAGAAATTTAGATCATTTTAAGAATACCTTAAAGGCATCTTCATCTGTTCTGTCATCTCCAATATAAATAGCAAGCACATCCTGATTGTTGCCCAAGCCTACAATGTATATTCAATGTATTGTTGAATAATTATTTCCTACTTTGTTTGCCTAGACAGACAAAAGGAGGTGTTAAAAAGCTACAGACCAAGTGATTCAAGCAGAAAATTCACAGCTTTTCCTTTATTCCAATCGATTATAGGACGAATTTCTAAAACCTGTTAGCAGATCATAATGAAGACAATATTACAAGTTCATAAAAAAGAGATTCAATTTAAAAAAAACATTGATTATAACCTTCCGTCCATGAGTGAGACAAAGTCTAGGGTAATCTTTCATGATGTCATGCACTATTTGAGCAACTGCAGGCCAACTCTGTTGTCAAAACGATAAACAAACATCAGTCTAGTGTATATATAAACCAAGCAAAAACAATGGATTCTCATACTGAAGAGCATTTTTGGTAAGTGGTGTTTCGAAGATATGGCTTAATGTTCTAAAATGAGAAGTGTGGTAAAATCCATTAATCCAAATGAGCAAGTTAAAATATATGTATTTCTCCTAACAAATAGAGCCTAGGTAAAGATACAGAAAGAAGAGTACTAAGAACATGGTAACTCACATTTGCATCTACATTACGATAATGAACAGAAGCACAAAACTTATGGTTCTCAACCTTAGAACCCTTAATATCTTTAGTGTTCTCAGTTAGGGTTTTAAAAACCTGCAACAAAAAAAGGCGTGAACTTTTGATGTAAAACCGGGTTTGCAATATATTCAGGTTCAAACCACACCTCCTTGATCATTGGTATGAATTCACGAGCAGGCTGGAACAAATGTATTTCCTCACCCTGACCACAAATGTTCAAATTAAGGAGAGAATAGGAATGACACAAAAAATAGATGTCATTGAGGAGGCTTTTGCTACTTTCTAAATACACAAGTGGTCAAAGTGAACATTTAATTCACTGTGCAGGGAAAGCACGGGATTGTTTGGAACCCATAAAATGCTTTGCAAAAGCAAATTGAGAGGAAATTTAGTGGGGAAATCGTTCTAACTTAATAAATCGATTTAAAATGTTTCTTCGAGGTCATTTTATTTGCATATTTCTTTTATGCTCCCACTCCCACCTTTCATATTTATTAGCTCCATTACTCTTTTCACGAAGATTAACCATATGTTGTAGGGTGGTTAATAGTGTAAAACAAATGAAAAGTAAGAGAGAAAGTGAAAGAGTATGAAAAATTGGAAATAGAAGATGAACATAAACGGATATATGTCTTTTAGAGAGAAAAGAGCAGGAAACATCTGACAGTGGAGCAAATAATAATAAACTTCCGTAATAGGAAGGTGAAGACTAGTATATCTTAAATTCTTAATATATGTACAACAAGTTAAAGAGTTCTAATTAGGTTTGATTTTCCGGGATCCAAATGCATGCCTAAATTTGTTTCACCACTTTCTACCTACGTGTGAAAAAAATTGAAGCGTGTTTGTTACTTCAGAAAATGATTAGGTGGAAAGTTGTTTGCTTTATATAGCAAAAGTATGTACTTCCATCCTAGCAAACGCCTCCTTATTGACACAGAATGGAACAATAACAATAAAAATGAATACGTGTTGGTCGGTGGACTTGATGCAATTGGCATGGGTATAAGGCACTTTGCCTTTGGCGGGAAACATGATGTCCATGCCGTGACTCCCAGCATAATATAATTCAGTTAGTCCTACCAATTCATAAACCTGCAAATATAATACACACACATGTGTGTAAGCAAAGAAATGCCATACCATAATAAAGGTAGGAAGAAAAATCTGTAAAGAAAGAAGTTTAGTTTTTACCTTATCACGGTTTCGGCCACTGATGATTGCTGTGGGGAAATACTTTGCTGTGGTTTTTACGGCAGCACGCATCTGTAGCCATTGAGTTAAAAATACTTGACTACAAAATGACAATTGAAAACAATATTCATGAATTGATTATGTAAGGATCATTGCGTAGGCAATACTCACGTCATCGGACATAAAAGCACAGTCAGGGTCATCTACAATTGGAGAAAGAGTTCCATCATAGTCTAAAAATACCACGATCTTCTTATTCCTCGCTTTGTTAAGAATGCACTGACACGAGTTAAGGGCTGACGGATACTTGATCTATACAATAGACAGGGGAAAAGAAAATGGTGATGCACTGAATAAGGACTTGCATTGCATTGCATTGCATTGGCTAGAACTTGGATTTAATTTAATAAAAAAGGAAAATACTATTGCCAGCTGCGCTTTTGTTTTCAGTTCACGAAAGAAACAAAAAAGAATTTAACATAATTGGAAAAGATAACTTCTGCATTCCATCATTCTCGGAAACATGTTCCCGAATAGGACACGCTTCATAAATAAAACATATGTTTTGGAATTTCTGTAAAAATCATAAAGATTCTGCAACCATCCAATATTTTTGTAGTTTGTCATTATATCCTTACAAACTTGTCCCGATAAAGGAACACCAAATTTCTTCTCTACTTTCTTCCTAAATTGCCCCTATTTATTCTTATGAAATTATAGGATTAGTGATTGCAAATTGAGAAGTGGAAACAAGAACAGTCATTTTGTATTTACATCATTCTGTATGATTACAATAGCAGTATTTTGAGATAGAAGGGCACAACTTTGAGAAAAAACTAAGTTTCTAAAGTCATTGATAAGAAACAGAATCAAAAGACATTAGAAATTAAGTGTAAAAATAAGTTTTTCAGTATGGTTCTGTAAAATTGGGTGATATATATAATTTTGGACGGAAGGAGTAATATGTACCCATTATAGATCTAGTAAGCATGTTAAATATTTAGCAATTTGAATACAGAAGATGGATGAAAAGATTCTAATAAAGTTCATGATAAGCAGAAAAAATGTACCATCCAACAAACATATTCAACATCGGCATCATCAATAACAGCCTCAACGCTCAAGTCCTTCACCATCTTTTTTCGAGGAGGTGAAGAAGAAATCATTGCATCGAGCCAACCATTGGACCGGACATCATCAAGTTTTCCAGGTTTCTTCCGAGCCGGAACCGTTAGCATGGCAGTGGCGAATGGTGCAGCGGATTGAGAATAAGGCAACACAGCAGCAGGATGAATCCCCAGCCTTGACTTGTTTAGTGCTGAAGGGTCAGTAGTAATAACAGGAGAAGCCGTTGCTGAATTCAATTCCATAGGTGTCAACCACTTCCTAATGTTTCTCAAGCAGTTTTTTTTTATGTTTCTAAAAAGCTAATAAGATGAGTGTACAAAATTGTTTATCCAACCCTTTTATCAATGAAAAACCACTTTTTCAATGTTTTCTTATCACTGCAGCTGGTTGAACAATCCATCAAGCAGAGGCTCTGAAAAATCTGTCATGATATCACATAATATTTTCCAAAAGTTAATTAATAACCTAATGTAAATAAACGCAAATACTTGATTTCTGTGTTCCAATTGTCAGTAGAATACTGTTGGTCAATATAAACTACGCAGAACATTATATCGTACCTCATCTCCAAAGACACACCGCATTTAAACTAAGCAGAACATTGTTGGTCAATATATCTGTGTTCAATTGGCAGTAGAAGAAAGAAGATCACAATCTTGATTTCTGATGATACAGATGGCTAGAGAGAGAGAGTAGCAATAAAAATATAATTTTTGGATTAAAAGCTTTTAAGAAACCACATGTAAGCCTATTAGACCATGACTCAGCATGAATAGATATCACATGGACCTTAATTGAGCATTTTTATGCATAATAATCACGTGGAAACTGTACCTACCCAAAAAGAAAAAAGCAAGGAAATTTTGACTAACAAACAAAGACTGCAACAAAGATGATTTCGTTTTTACTGTAAACTGATAATGAAAAAAGGATGCTCAATACATAATTAAACAATCTTAGGTTCGTTTAATAATATTTGAAACTCCAAAGACTACAACAAAGATGGATCCGTTTTTACTATAAAGTGATAATAATGACGCCCATTTAACACCGCAATAATTTCATATGTAACAGCAACCGACATGACGGAAGATTACCATAAAAGAAGACCAAATTAAGAAACGGTTATGTCGAATCATCTAGACCCACAAAACTGTATTAAAGACGCATTTAAGCCAACAGTTACACATGCGTGTAAATAGAAAACTCAGAAATCATACGCAGAAACCCGTCTTTGTATCGCTTCCAAGCAAACAATAGATTTGAACCAGACATTAAAAAAAAAACTCCACCGCTATTACAATGAAAACATACAGAAAAAGATAAGACCTTTGAGCACCCATTCCTGCTTTTGAAAAATAGACAAAAAGTTGTGGACTTTTGTGCATGGTTGAAATACCAAAAGTCGAAAAAGGATGCGAAATTTGGAATCCAAAAGCCGCATTACATGAAAAGAATATTATCGAATCCAAAACAAAAAAGTGATGCCAAATACTACAATACCTATCGATCTGGAGCCGAATCACCTTGAAGCGGTATAGAGTTGGTGATGAAACCGAGGAAAGCAGAGAACCGGGATGGAAAGAGTGGGGCGAAATGGGGAGGGAGAAGAGAAGAAATAGGTAGAAGGGGTGAGAATATATAGAGCCCCAAAAGACGTGCTCAAGAAGAAAACCTGTTGCTCCGCAGTCCACCCTTTCCAGGTGGAATATCAACAAATATTAAGACTTAATTTATTAATCAACGGGGCTATGACTCTATGAGTAAGGATGCTTTTACTGGTCTGGTCTAGTCTGTTTTTTTTTGTATTTTTATAACTATCCAAGTCTAGTCTGGTCTGGTCTGATCTGGTCTGGTTTGATCTGATCTGGGACAAATTACAGTCCAAATAAAAACATCCTAAATCAAAGCTAAAAAGGTAATTAAATTAAATTCCCTAAATAGAGGTAATCTTTCATATCCTGCCGTTTCCATACTTTAATAAGTAGTTCATACTTTTATTATTACTTTTTTGGAAGAATTCGGCTTATATTGATAACAGATAATTCAGAGTATGGGTCAAACGACAAAAAGAAATCTGACAACTGTTATCCCGCGAACCAGACTCGTAATTAATCAGCTCCTGAGAAGCAATATAATTTGTTGATCCATAAGTGGGAAACCTAAAGCCAAAACGGTTACCATATTCCTCTCATCCCCACATCCAAAATCAACGTCTTACAAACAGGAATATCAAAACCAAAAGAAAGCACACAACAAAATAAACAATCACTAAAGGAGAAAATAAAACAGGTAAAGTAGATCCTCTGCCGAGCCTGCCAAACCACACGATCACACTAGACTTGCTTGCACTCCATGGCGGTGGTTCAGGAGGGGGACGTGCCCGCCACTGAGCCGCCTTCATAGTCAAACTTTTGTGTTGATCCGTCAGGCATTGAATTGTAGCCAGATTACCAAGTCCCGTGCAATTCCATGTACCTGCACTCATCTTCCTCCTTCCAAGAACAAGGGTTGCCGCCGAACAAGGGCTCCAAGCAGACTCGTTGATGGAGCAGCGGATCCCTTGTTGTTGCGGAACCGAGGCGAACCAATGGACTCGCTGAATCCCTTGCTGCTGCATCCCGAGCCAACATCAATGAATTCCGATCTCACAAAAAGTCCATAGAATTCGAAAGCAAAATCCAAACAATCCGAAAGCAAAATTCAACCAATCTGAAAGCAAAATAAAAATTCGAACCTCCGGTGCCGCGGCCGAAACCGCCACCGAACAAACCCTAGGCCAACCTAGACGGCGGCTCTAGAGAGAGAAAGACAAAAACCCTCGTAACCACCCCATCAACCGTTACTTATTATAGTTCATACTTTTATTATTAATAATCAAAACATGAAAACGACTAAACATTCTTATTTATAATATAATAAAAATCATAATGAAATAAATATTAAATAAAAATAAAGAAAAAATTCGAAACACAAAAAAAAGTGAATAAATAAATAAATAACGCAATAGAAATGCAGCCCCCACTACCGCCTCAGTCACTTTTGAGCACCACTTGCTCTGATCATTATAAAAATGTTAATCAGAATAACAATATCATCTTGGTCGCAATTTCAAAACAAATTTTGATGTTTTCAAATAGTAATAATAACTTGTTAATGCAATATTCAGAGAAAAGTTGACATTTTTTATACATGATGATATTTTTGTAACAACTAGAGATGATGGTGCTTGGAGGTGGCAGAGACGGCGGGAGCACCCTCCATATTTTTGATATTTTTATGTGCATCATTTCTTTTTTATGATTTTTTTAGTTTTGTATTTTTTTAGTTTTTTTTTTTTTTTTTTTTTCAATTGTCCATTTTTTTATTTTTATGCCCTACTTCACTTTTTTATTTTAATAAAATATTTTTTAGGAAATAATTTTATCGAAAATTAAATTACTTTTTCTCAAATATACATAAAATAAAACTCATGGACAAAAATGTTACTAAAATTAGTAAATTACTATGAGAGTATTTTAATGGAATCTTAGACATAATAATTATAGTAACTAAAGATGAGTAAGTCAAAGTTTTATCTTTTAACCCATTTTGGTTATATATTTGGTATTATTTCTAAAATAAAATATGTTTATGTTTTTATTATAAATAAATAAATGATTTTTCTATTGGGTACTGTTATGGGTAGAATAGGTAAAGAGGATGCAATGGACTCCTATTTTAGAAATATAAACATTGTAATCATATTTTTCATTTTGAGATTATTTTACTCGTATTTCAAGCAATTTTTCCTTAATTAATTCTGAATAAGTAAAGATGAAGAAAACAATCACTTCAGGCCAAGTACCAGAACTTTTGGTGGGGCCATCCATAGTGTTTATGGACCCTAGACAATTAGTTGACTTTTAAAAACTAAAAGTGAAAAATTGATAGTAATAATCTCAACTATTTGCAGTCCGCTCATAATAATCCCAACTATCGATGAGATTGACTATAAATAAATTCTTATAGTTTCTAAAGTGGATGAGAAGAGATATAGAAGGTAATCCCTATAAATAACCCCAACTTTTAATATTTATGCTTAATTTCTATTTAAAATTCACCAGTAAATAAGATTCATAACCAATAAAACACAATATAGACATTCAATATTCATAACGAAACACATCAACGCATCATAAACAAAGGAATAAGTACTAATAACAAAATATTCAATTGTTTGCGGGTGGAAATACGTCAAATAAAGTCAAGTGTTTCTACAACATTCAGTGTACACGAGAAACTCCAATAATAAAGACAAACTATAAGTTCTCATGGTCTTCTTGATCATCTTGGTCATGGAGATGTTGCTATTGACGCATACGCCTACGCTGTTGTCGTGGTTGAAGAACAACTCTGTCATGCTGAGTCTGAGATGTAGAAGTCGCCGCTGCACTAGATGTCGATGCCATTGAATCCTGAGATGGAGGCATATGTATAACATGGTCATAGTCGACTCGCCCCAACACATCTGAACACAGGGAAGCAATGCCCGTCAGAGCCTGACCGTACGTGTCCACGTCATGCGTATCAGTCACTATGGCAGTCGCCCGCTGAGTATACGTTGCAAAGCCTGTGTCTGAAATATGAAACATAATTATAATTACTTAGAAATAATTAAAAGTGTTAAATAAAGAACATGAATTACTTTAGTAATTAGTAATACACCCACCGTCAAGTGCAAAGCCAAGGAGCTAGGCTGATAATGGTGAGTAGGGAGTCTGAAAGAAGGAGACACAAACAACCGTGTGATGTTGTAATACCATCCCATGTAGTCTCCCGAAACAGATGGGAGTAATGTCGGTGTCCCAGTCACACCAAGCTCAGCTCGCCTCTCTCATATAGTCACGTATTGGACATGTCGGTGTCCCTGTAACTGCTCTCTCATGGACCTCTAACCCAGTCAATACAGCTACATATCCCAATGTCACTGTCACCTCACCAACAAGGAGGTGAAATGTGTGTGTCTCCTGCCTCCAACGCTCAAGAAGAGTAGTGAGTAGCGCTCTATCAAGAGGGACAGTAGCCACCAATCTATGAAGTTCATAAAAACCTGCAGCCCTAACATATGCTAGTACTCTGTCATCCACCTGCACGTGGGACAAACCACGGAGGTGCTCTCGACACCTATCCACTTGCACATCGAGGCCATGCCACACATCCTCACTCCTATGTGTGGCCTACAATGTCAGAACAGATCAATCACTCGACCCTGGATCCACTAACACCTCCATGCCTACAAAAAATTAAAAGTGTATTAGTTATTAAATAATTATTAATATTAAATTAATTAATTTTTTTTCATTTCAGATTAGTATCAGTTGTGGATTATTATAATTAAAACCTTACCCAGTGGACCTCCCTCCATCTCTTGAATATCTCTTCGCGCATGTGGCCCTATTATGGCCGCTTTGTTTACAATTTCCACATCTAACCGTTCCTCTGGGACCTTCAACCATCTCATTCTTAATACGCGTGGATTTTGGTCTTCCCTTTGCCCGAAGCATGGATGGATCGTGCACAATTTGTGGTCCAGAGTAAGTCGGCCAATAAGCACAGTCAGGAATGGGTTTAAAAACTGTTTGATATGTCGTGGCGTATTGGAAAGATGAGAAAAAAGGATCCACAAAAGTATGATAAGACAAACTACATTGTCTACACACAGCTAATACGTGGGAGCATGGAATCTTATATATTTCCACCTTCTTACAAGTACAAGTACGTCTATGCAAATAAACCATTTGCTTTCTCCCACCCTTTCCCAATGTTCGGCCACCACATCCCGTTTCCACTTGGAATATCCCTTGGCCTATATCAAATCAAATCTATTATGTGTGGGGGGTAGTCGTGGCCTTCTGTCACTCTTCTTTTAGTACTTTCACGCCTATTAACAAAATAAGCATTTACGCGGTAAAAGGAAACCTGAACCAAGGCGGTGATGGGAAAATATCTGGCATTTTCATCACGCTGTTGAAAAACCTCAGCCATATTCGAAGTTATAGTAGCGTATCTGTAACCGCCATCATGGTGTAATGACCACATTTCCAAGGGAATGTTCCCCAGAAATTGTCGTGCCTCCACCCGCATTTCCCCCATCTTGTTGAACCCACCATCAAACTTCTTTTTCTGATGTTGCCGTGCGGTCCAAACAAACAGATTTTTCAGGTGAGTGTCTTTAAAATGAGTGTGCACATTCGATGCAAGATGGCGGATACATAGCCTATGGTGCACAAACGGCTCCTCCCAACTACTGCCCACCTCATTCATTGCCTTTATTATACCTGCATGTCGATCAGAAATGACACACAACTCCCTCTTACTTACAAACTCTCTAATGCATGGCATAAACCATGACCAACTGTCCCCATTCTCAGATTCACATACTGCAAAGGCCACATGAATTAATTGGTTGTTTGCATCACTACTCATAGCCACGAGTAATGTACCCTTGTAATTCTCATACAAGTGTGTGTCATCAATAGTCAGTACGGGTCGGCAATGCTTAAAACCATGTATAGAAGGCTTGAATGCCCAAAAGACTCTCTGAAACTGCATAAAGCCAGTGGGACCTGTAGGGGGTGGGTATAGTGAACAACTGTCCCAGCCTCCCAGGGTTGGAATGTTGGAGCGCTGTCATGAAATGGGGCAATTCAGAATATGACTTCTCCCAACCGTCAAAAATTTCAGCAATGGCCTTTTGCTTGCC